AGCAAGAAAAGATCGTCGATTATTTCATTCTCTTGGAATTCGTCGCAAAAAAATGAAAGCAAAGTTCGTCAAGCTCCCAATTCTATTCCCGCGATATATTCGGGTGTGCGTGTAGTAGTTTATGCGATTCTGGCGAAAGGCATCGAACCTAAAACAATTATAAATCTTTCGGCACAATCTCCGGATAGCCCGATTAAACTTGATGTTAAAGTAGATCCGGTAACTCTCCATGGATCGAAAATACATACTTTAGCTGCTCGGAAACTAATTCAGGATTTGGAAGAAGGAACCTCCTATCTGCACGCGGATTCCATCGGAAAAGAGAAAGTTTTCAATGACCTTGTCAAAAAACAAATTATTAATTTAGGTAAAAATAATTAAATATTTTTATTCTATATAAAATCATACTTATTAATACATGTATAATTTCAGGTATTACTTTCAGCCTTGCGTCAAGACACACCAGGTATTTTTTTTAAAATTTTTTATTATGTTAAAGTAAGCACGTAACTAAACTATATTTGTTTTTTGTATATTTATAACATTTAGTTTTCTAGCAATTAACGAGAAAACTAATTCGGAAATCGCTAGGAGTGAGACTCTTAAGCAAAAAAGAGAAGTTCCGGGACATGTACGATCTTTTGCTAGACGTTCGGCAATTATGCCTCGTAGTTTAAAAAGTTCTAGAATGGAAAGCTATAAAAGAAAAAAATCATCATACAGCCTTGTGTCAATGAAAAGGCGGTCAATGTCAAACGAAGACGTAAGCTCATACGAAGACCTGATCACTTCAGCAATTCTTCCTGTATCAGTACCAAGTTTACAAGCTCAAAAGCAAGAACTATCACTACCATTTGACATAAAGTCACCAAATATTGAAACATTATACGAATTTTTAAAATTCCAATCATTCGATGGAAAGTTCGTTGCGAAAAATTCGAATTTCTCGAGCTTATTTTCCGGTCACGATTCAATGAAAGATGAAGATTCGGTGTGGACGACAGCTGTGGCAATGGCTTATTTGGAAATTGTGATGAAGGAGTTTAAAGAGGAATGGGAATTGTGTTTTGAAAAGGCGGAACGCGCATTAACGGATTTAATTGGTAAAAATGATGAAAGTAAGAAAGTTGAGAATATTTTGGCGGAAGCTCATGAATGGGTGCAAAAATGGGTTGCAAGTAAATGAAAAGGCTTAATAGTTATTTTTATTTATATTGATATTTATGTCGCTTGTTTTAAACAATGTTTGCTATAATTACATGTGCTATAAGTTGACTCTTTTTATACTAAAGCGAGTCGGTAAATGAATTACACTTTGCACGAAATTTAAAACAAGCCTCTGACTCAGCGAGCTCCGCTTACAATTTCTTATTACATGTAATTGCAAAATGAAACTGATGTGTAAAATAATATCGATATCAATATAACATGTCGCAAATTGCATCTTAACCTAATATAGTAATCAACGTTAACGTTAATAAATTCGTAAGTTTTATAAGCCTATTTTAATGTACTTCTGTTACCAAAGCATTAGCCAACATAAGGTCGTGGAAAAAATTAACAAATAAAAAATTATGATAATATCGAACTTCTGATTGGTTCGCCGCAAGTTACACTAAAAAATTTGGATGCTGCAATAAAAGTTATAAAGCATGTTGTTGATGTATATATCGATATAAATCGAAGTGAACGACTAACGCTAATCACTAATGGGCATCTAATACTCATAATTGTAGTAAATGCTGGGAAAACTGGTGACTTTATTACGAAATTTGGGCGTAGATTTTGATTGGTAATGCGGAGATCTTTTTATCCAACGTTATTTCACATTCTTAATTCTCACGCTCTTTGCTCTTTATTCTTTATTCCCATACTGTTTATACATAGGTTTTTCTTAAAGCTCAAATTAAAATAGATTTAAAGTCTTAATTTTATAAAATATTTATTTGTAAATAAAATAAATCTTTTATAATTGGTTTTACTTATCTTTTTTATTATAATAAATTATATAGTAACTAACAAAATTATAAAATTATACATGTAATAAAATATAGTTAAAATTAAAGTTTTTTTTAATAATATATTTTAATTTTATTAGTTTCATTTATAGTATACTATTAGAATTTGATCAAATATGATCTGGTACAAAAATATAAGTACATATATTTATATAATTATTTTATTCTATATAAACAAAAATAAAAAATTTGATTCATCAATAACTTTGAATTTAATTAATTTGATTTTTTTATATAGTAATTTATAATCATTTTTAATAAATTTTATATAGTAAAAAAAATTAATTTTTAAACTTTGAAGCTTAATTTCTTGACAACTAGTGATTCAATTTTGCTAAAATTTAAAATATATTTATCATATGTACATTAATGCACTTGCATAGTACAAACTTACAAAATTGCATATTAATAGAAAAAATATTAAAAATCTATTTCTTTAAAAAATAATAAAATTGTACAAATAGTTAGCTTAAAACATACTTATTTAGTGTAAAAAATTATAAACTTTTAATTAATAATTTTATAATTATAATTAAAACCGTTTTACTTTTGTTTTTGGTGTATCTACATTTTGCACCGGACCATAATTACTAATAAGTTATTCTATAAAGTAGTCTTAAGTAAACTTGATCGCAATATATGAAACCGTATATCTGCGGTTTTTCATATATTTTCGATTTTTTTTCATAGCACAATAAGGAAAAACAGCATTCTCGTTATATATGACGAGCACTATATCGATATGTACTTTAATATGCCAAATAGGAAGGATTTGTATTTTTATGTCTTAAAATATAAATATAAAAAATAGAATAAAATGAATCTACCCGTTTAGAGAAACCTCCCTGTTTACTCTCTAAATGCTTTTTCTTAATATGGTCCAAGGGGGCACTTGGAGAGGTTTCCCCGTACTTATATTAATATAAACACAATTTCTTGATTTTTGCCGAGTAAGCAAAGAAAAACATGCTAAATTTGAAAAAATCAACCTCGTATTATTAACATGTAACTTATTAAAAGTTTACTATCTGAAATATTTCAATTTCATCAAATTCCTCAATTTTAGATATCTTAGGTCTTGAATAATGACCGCCGTAACCCTCTAGTCTTAAATATAATGTCAAACCACCAGGTCCAGAATTTATTTCTGAATTATCATCACTTCCTTCTTGAGATCCAATTAATAGCTTGTTATTATTCAGATCAAATGAATAAAGAAATGTAACGCAAGTAATCGACGGTAATTCTACTTTCCAAGATGTAGGACTGTAGCCACCAATTATTTTTGAATGGTCCTTCAAACGAATCGCTGCGACTGCTGGACCTCGTCCATTGCACAACCGATGAAAAGCTTTCATTTCAAACCCGTCACGACTACCACGAAATATTAATCTTAAGTTCACTTCACCGATTTGAGTTTTATCTTCACGTTTAATCCACATTTTAATTTTGCTTATTTGCTGATTCGATAAAATATAGGAATAATTTGCTAACCCTCGTACATGATATTGTGTTGTTAAATGAAGTTTATCTTTTGGATCCGAGTATTCTTTTTCTAAATCTTGAACTAAAGAATCTGGCAATATTCGTGAATATGGTGAAACTTTTTTGAGAAAATCAGTATGGCTGATATGAAAGAATCTGATAGATGACAAGCAATTTTGGAGAGTTGACTTTAAAAAATCGAATTCGTTCTGTGTCCAAGTTTCAATCGGAGAATCCAATTGAGAGTCTTGTGTGATTCCCCATTCAATAACTTTATCCCAAATTTTAATTTCCGAAAGATTCAAATAATCACTTTGAAGCAATAAAACAAGAATCGGTTCTTCAAGTCGAGTAAAATCAGGAGAGTCGAAGATTACTCTGGGATTTCTACATGCAACATTAATGCAAAAATTTTGCAAAAGTGTAAAATTATTATGCTCAAAAGCGATTTGAATGACTGTATAAATGTTTCTCTTAATCGACTCTTCATAATCTTTACTTAGATAAGTTTGGATATATTCAACTAAATCATCCATTAGCAACTCGTCCGCAGCAATCAGTACTTCTAACGCAGTGAATAAATCATACTTATAAAATTCAAAACTGATATCTCCACAATAAAAATATCTATTAATTCATCATCCAACAGTTAATTATTGTTTATTGTTTTTATAGTTATATAGTTGGTCCTTTTATTAATATTAAATTTACCTTAACAAAATTCTGAAAACCTTAGGAGTGATATTCGGCTTTTGGAAACTGATTAATTTATCTACTTCTCTTTTAGTCCAAACATTCGACAAAGCTGTCGCAAAATATGGTGAGTGTGCTACCAAAATTGCCAAATGCACCGAATAAGTTTTTTGTTCGTTTGGTTGTTCGCCGACAGTTATTAAAGTGTCATAAAACTTTGAATTTTCGTATAGTCTAAAGAGATTATCTCTATAAGAACTCGATAATTTTTCTTTGGCTTCAATACTAGGCATTTTTTGAACGGTTTGGTGTTGTTGATGGGCGGATACGTACATGTATTTAACTTATACATGAATATCGATATGTGCTACGTACTCACATGATTTTCTTAATACATGTACATGTACATGTATGTGATTAATGCAGCATGTACGTACGTATGTACGTATTTTCTTATTATATAATTTTGGACCAGGCGTTATTTTTTGGTGACAATAAACTATTGCGATATTGTTTAAAATTCTACAAACTCCTTAATTAAGAAGTAATACAAAATTTAATCACAAATATCATAGAGTAAACCTTTCCTAATCATATTTGTGAATTAAATCTTGTAGTTAAAAGGTTTATAGAATTTAAAATATACAGTTTAAATATGACCTGCACCGTTCTTTTGGCCTTTTAGCAGCAAATATCGTCGGGGTGGATTAATTAAATGGGATTTACACCGTTTGAAGGACTAACTATTGTGACTATTTGTATAAACAGTAATTGATGCTATGATCCAATCAACAAACGCTTCTACTCATTTGATTCAAGCAAGTACATGTATAAGGAAAGATCTTGAAAGACGAAATTTAGGAATGACACTGAGCTAGTGTATAAACTTACAATTGACGAGTAGGGTGTGTTTATAAATATTTAGTTTGTTACGACGAAAAAGATATTTAAATGCTGTGTTATCTAATACTCAGTGCACTTGTATTTATTGGAATTGTTAGCGTTTGATATTTGATTTGATAGTTTAGTAACCTTCTTTGATTGAATTTAAACGATTGTACTTGGGGGTTAGCGTGCTAATAATTAAATAAATCCGGATAAATGATTATCAGATTCGAGTCGATTCACGATCTAATTAATTAAAACCTATATACCGTTAATCATACGAATATCAATTTTTGCCAACTACTGCATTGAAAAACAATTCATCGATCAATTATTCCTATTCCGGATTGTTAAGTAAATATCTTTGACAATCACAATGCAACTTTGTTGTCTACATGGTCATAAGACAAGTAGCCCATATGAGAATACAAATTAAATTTGTTCAATTTGATTTGTATGATGTAATTTGAAAACGTGTTTCAATTAAATGATCAGACTCGACCACCAAACCAATACATATACAGTATTATGAAATTGAACAGGCTTATCAATAATTAGAATTTGCTTGTAGCAATGGATCTCATAATTTAAAGACCATTTTTGGCTCTAAAGTAAAAAAATAATCTTTCTTGACCTCCACGTGTCAATACATATTAAAATCTTGCATACATGTACATGGTCATACGCAAATAGACGGGAGTTCAAATAAGCTATTGGGTATCTTTATCTTTTATCCTAATCAACAAGGATCAGTTCTAGACGAACATGCATACTTTTTGAAGAAAATCATTACTCGATAGTTCTTTGTCATATGTTGAATAAGTTTCAGTGGAACTAACGATTTCGAGATTTATCTTTTGGTCGAAGAATATCGATATCGATATGCATTGTACATGTATATTGATATACGTATTTGAACAATCAATCTTTCTAATTTTATGGGAATTGACTTACGCAGCTGTTTCGTGTTCTTTACTAGTAAAATAAAACTTGCATTTTAATTCATACATTGCATGCATGTTGTCTGTCTTAAAAAGCTGAATAATCAATAATAATAAATAAATAATAAATAAATGATAAATAATGATATATTAAACAAGAAAAGTGCCTATTTCCATATTCTCCTGCGTCAAAATACGATTGGGGAAACATCCATTCTGCGCTACATCTTTGAAAAACGGCAAAGGTAAACTAACTGATAATTGATGGAATCTCACAAAATAAACGACCTGACAACGGCTACAGTTTCGGCGTACAATTTTAGGTCAGGTTATTGATTTTTTTTACCACGCATTCATGAAAAGTTACGAGAATGAAAAAAACGCCAAATTTTTCAAGTTGTTACATAACATATATGCAAACTGGCTGAACAGGGCGCTAGTATCACTATTATATCACACAGTTGCTGGAACCCTCTATGTAATCACCTAAATTTATATTAGGTTACTTTTAATCGATTCTATGTACAATACGAGAATATGACACGGGTAACTATAAACTATAAAATAACTTTATACATGTAATATACACGTAGTCGGAAAAGGCGCGGTATTTGTTTACTTGTTTATCACAATTTACGCGTGCACGCACGAGCGCTAAATCTCCTGATTTCCCTCATATCGATATTTGGTGAAATGAATTAAACACATGCGACATATTTATTGTCTTTTATTATGTTTGTGAATGATGATGCAAAGAATTATATACAAAAAAAACAAGAACCGAAAGAACTAGAACATTTTACACACGGAGAAACTAATCATGGAACAAAAATAATGTACAAAGAATTGTGATGGTTTCCTTGCTTGTAAGAATGATGTATGCAAAAAAAAAGAGATATGCGAGAAATAAAGAAATAGATGGAAATAATACATTTTCGGAAGTAGAACAGAATCGTTGGCGTCAATTTGAATGAAGTATGAACAGTTGAATTGATGAAGTATAAATCACGAATTATGAAAGTGAAAGAATAACACGATATGAATTATTGTTATCATAGTGATATGATTTCAAAGAAAAGCGTAGCGTATTATGTTTTGTTCATATTTGAATATATAAAAATATACTTCTATAAACGCCAAAAGCGATTTTACTTATCAGTATTGTAAATTATAAAAATATTGGTGTCTCGAAAGTAAATCTTAAAGCATATAAAGGGAGCTTATGGATAACTGTTGTGTATTGTATATTCTAATCGATTTTGTACATGATATATAAACTTCTATTGTCGTTATAGAAATTGTTTGTCTGCTTTATTTTTCGTTTCTAAAAGTAAAATCCGCTGTCGCTTCGTTCAATGTATTCGCTGCGACAAATTTTTCGTATCAAAAATCCATTCTTCAAATGAATCACCACCAATAATTTCCCTCGTTCCATCGCCATTGCTAATATATTTCACAATCCAGTCATCCCATAAAGATTCTTCGGATAATTGACTAATATTCGAGGACGTTGATTCATTGCTGATTGTTCGTGTGTGTTGTCGTGATCGATTGCTATTATGAAATCCTCGCGAGGTTCCATTTGTTTTATAAAAGCCAAAATCTGACGAAGACGACGACGACGAAGTTCTATAACTTTGAATACTTGTTTCACGTGATCGTAAGGGTGAATACAATGATGTTGCTGCTGGTAATGTATCCCAAGGTTTTAATTCCAAATTATAAACTAATTTATCTTGAGTGTGTGAAACTGTCACGTGTGCTGCTGTTAATAGTTCCGTTGATAGTGTCGAAACTGCAATATCTCTAGGCTGTTGTGAATTGCTGTTGTCGTCGTCGTCTGAATATCTAGATTTCCCTTTATTGATATTTCGTTGGCAAACACTTTGTTTATACCATAATGAATAAAAGTTCGCCATTTTCTATTAATCTATTTAAATTTCTATACAAACAAAAAGCAAAGGTAAAGGTAAAGTAAAGGTAAAGGTAAAGGTAAAAGTAAAAGTAAAGGTAAAGGTAAAAGAAAGGTCGTCGAAAACCTCTTTTTATATAGAATTTTTTTGTGATGAAGAAAAAATAATCTTTTTTGATCACTAATATAAATATACATGTATTTTATAGTTTAATATTTATTTATCTTTTATTTATCTGACGAGATTTACAAGAAAGAAACATGATAGTGACACCTGCATTTCAAGTCATCTGGCCTGTTTCTACGCATTAAAGTAAACTGGTTGCTGGTCATCCACCGCGCATCCTAATAGTATCGGTATAAATCAATCACGTATGCGATGACAAAAACATGATTGGACTCGATATTAATATTTACCAACTCTTCTTTCTTTTATCTTCAAATTGAAAGATTCTCGATTTATTTGATTAATTGTAAAAAACGCCGAGACAAGTGCCTAATGATGGATGGCGATCATATTAATTGTAAGAGACTAAAGTAGTCTGAAAAGTCATGGTGGTACCCGGTCATTATGTTATCTTATATACATTATATATATAGAAAGGACTGAATGATTAATTCGATCAATCGATCGAATGTAAATCGAATCGATCATCGTTATCATTATGAGAAATGAAATTAGTGACCTAATCTCATTGGTCTCCACATTTAAAGTTGATTGGTTAAGAATACGATAAGCCTACTACGGAAATATAATATAACGTGATTGGTTCATTCATCGTGTCACAAAACATTGCCATTCGAAGTACTAAAAATGAGTTGTGTAAATTTATCACGAAAATCGAGATTTTTTTGGCGTTTTTTTTGTTTTCGATATCTTGTGTCTTTTTCGCATTTACATGACGTCGAATTTTATCATATCGGATAAGTGGGATTTAACTTTAGTCACAATGGGTAATACAAGAAAAAAAATCAGCCTCGAGCACATCATTGCTACAAATTCCGCATTTTTGAGAAATTGCCATGTTTTTTTTCCTTTATTTACTATCATAACATGCCAAATTTCAGTCTATCGCTATGCACGTATTGGTATTTATAAACTTTTTGCATACACTCAACTCAGCCCTATACTATACTTAGAATGTCAATCAACAAAAAAACAAAATCAGATTTTCATCCTTTTACGTTTAGTATAGGAATTTGCGATATATACCGATACAGTCAGAACTCTATTTAATCAGTAGGTCGCGCAATTTGACACCATATGTTTTTGGGCAAAATCCATTCTCATTAAATCGCTTTCAATTGGTCATCGCTAAATCGAGTTCTGACTGTATTGTAGAATTGATTTAACTTTAATAAATTACGTAAGTTACAAGTGAACACCGAGAATATTGACTCAATTTAAGTGATATATATTATAGAGATAATCGTAATGAGCCATTAATTTAATTGGAGAATTCGTCTATTCCGCAGATAAATAGTTGTTTTTATTATTTTACGCCGCCGTAGCAGTAGCGGTAGTTTTACTTTGTGGTACCGCCAGAAAATGACATCTATCTAATTCTACTTTCTTAAGCTGTTAGATGATCTTTTTCTCGCGCACAGACTATCACGAAAATAATTCGTCTGTAACGGTAAACGAATGAAAAACATTACTGCAGTGTACTTAAACTTGAAGAATATATTCGGGGGTTAGCTAAAGCCTGGTAACACGTGTAATCCATCCAATAGGGGTGCGTAAATTTTTGTCAATCGCCAATGAGAATGTAAAAATTTTTGATCAACCCGGCAAAACAAATCCGACACAAGATATGAAAAATGCGAGAAATGTGAATATTACAAGAAAACCGATGCTTAAACCTGTATTGGAATACTAATTAAAAATGTTAGGAAGGCGATTTTATATATAACTTTGTACCCTAATCCTAACCCTTACCCTTACCCTAGCCTTATCGGTTGCACGCGGAAAATTTAGAGGAACAGAGTCACATGTCCACCAGGCTTTAGCCAACTCCTATATTCGGAACGTGAAAACCTTATACATTATCTTAATATAAGTGTACACTAGTCCAAATTTTATATTTCAGTTGCGACATTGAGCATTGATGGCTGCTGAACCTACCAATCAAATGTTGAATCACAACTGGAATGACGCAACGATTCAGAAATATAAATTTGGACTAGTGACTGATTTTTTAGTAGCACTTAATATTTTGTTGTGGTATTTATTGTATCAATTTAAATAAGTGTATCCATAATATATTAACCGGATCAAAGGATACGTACGTATGCACAAGAGACCAGATTCGATTATCGTATCATTACATTGAAAAAATGCTTGCATTATAGATAGATAGCTGTCAACAAAGATCAGATGAAAGTTGAGTTTAGTCGAGATTAATACATGTACTATCTTATCTTACTTGTTTTTAAATCATCGTGTCGTGTTCAAATGTATTTTTTAACTTAAAGATAAGATAACAAATAAATAAAATTAAATAGTTTGCAGGAAACCAGACAATCCTTTACATTTTAATAAGTGGAAGGTCACAATGATACTTGTTTACGAACTTGTTTCTTTCCAATTATGTAGTAATTAATCCGCAAAAAAAAGTTCGAACATATTTTATTTTATAATTATGCACAAAGAAACACTTGAAAGCCACGCTGCAATCTCTTGTTCCTATTTTGATTCTATTAGCTCGATTAAATAAATTGATAAATATTTAACTACACAAAAATTTATTTTGAAATTCCTTTAAGTAGGGTATTATGCTCTAAAAATCAATACACTATATTCTCTTTTCATGTCAACGCAGACTTGAATGCGGTTTGACATGCTAAAATATATAAGTACTATACCTATAGTATTATTTCGATTTTTTTTCTCCACAATTTTTACTTTACTAGATAATTTATATAGTTTCAATACAATTTTTAAGCTAACCATTTTTTCTTAATGGATGAAATAAAATTTTATGTAATCGCGTATCAAAATGATGCCCTTGAACTTTGTGTTACGATTATCAGATACGTATTATCGTTATCGTTATAGAGTTTCTTTATTAAAAAAAGGCTTACCATATGGTAAAAATTCGTCCGTCATTACTTTCCGCCGGAACTGTTGTATTTTTTCACAATGGAGATCCCGGTTATCAATTACGAAAAAAAATTAAAATTACATTTTGGGCGAGGACTGCACCAACTTGGAATGCTTCGTCAAACCATTAAAGCATTATTTTTTTTTGAAGAAACTTTATTAACTATAAATCTGCAAGTATACCTATTTATATAAAATTTTGCCTAACTATAAAATACTGTATCGGTATACCTAAGAAAGAATAATAAAAAGTTTCAAATATTGATACAGTAATATCGATATAGTGCACTAATCGTATGGTGCGTACTATCTATGTCATCAATAAATATATTAAAGTTCTATAACTTCTTAACATGTAAAGACACAAAGTATTTATGTTATTACAGTAGTACATATCACGATTTTGATTTAAAAAAGGTTTAGTTTAAAAAATTGTATTAAAAGCTATCGCTATATAAATTATTTAGCAAAGTAAAAATTGTGGGGAAAAAGTCGAAATAATATTTTTGCTGCATTCAAGCCTACGTTGGCATGGAAGGAGAATATATCATGTGTCAGTTTTTTAAGAGCATAATGCCCTACTTGGAGGCATTTCAAAATTAAAATTTTTCGTGTGATTGTTTTAAAAGTTACTTTTTTTTTAAAAAAAAACCAACCGTCATGGAACTGTACATAATAAATCCTCCTTTTCTTCTGGATGTTTGCACTGGATAAAAAGAAGATATATCTATAACTTATTTTTTTGTGGAATAAGTATTCTTAGATTAATACTTTCAATTTTATGATTATTTGTATACAAAAATTCAATGTGCACATTATTTTGGCTTAATGATATTTCAAGTATCTTTGATATCAAAATTCGACGTGGAAAATTGAAACACGTATGTATATCATCGAGTTACAGTATAATCATCACAACTATCACCATATGGTGAAGTCGAAAAGATGTTGACATTGAGTCTAAAAACTTCTAAAAATATCTTCAGAGTTGGGCACTGGACCAACTGTGCATTTAATAACTTTTCATAATTGTTGATTCATCTGTTGAAACTTTACTTGATGCGAGTAAAAATTTTTAGAAAAAGGATCTAATTACTTTACTTAGATACCCTCAAAATACATTCGAATCCTAACATTTGAGACGTAACATAAGAAACTTGTCGAATTTAAAACATACAATAATGATATTGCTATTGATGAGTTGGATATAACGATAACAATAAGTGAAAAAATAATCATTTGAAGCGAATATTTTAGATTGCTTTAATACTTGAATATTTGATATTAGCTATTATCTATCGCTATGTCGATTTCATTTCCCAACCTGCCTGGTTCTTATAGAGGCTGACTGCAACAGTATTATAATTTTCCCCATAATCCAGCCATCTCAACATTATCGCTTCCATCACCACTTCCCTGCAATATAACCAGTTCTCAATAATCCATTTAGGCGATGACAACACCATAAAAATCAGACCACAAATTACAAAACCACATTCACTTATCACAGTCCATTTTCTAAATTCATATTGAATAGACGGTTGATATAGAAAGCAGAAATAGCAATGATAAAATTCTGTTCTGTGATTAAAATGCACCAAATTGTGATGGATACTTTTTCAGTGTTCGCGCTGTGTCGATAAAAGACTGTTATCACTGTTTGTGGTAAACAATGAAGACGAAAGATAAACTGTGATAGTAAAGCGAAAATTTGCAGTCTGCGTAAACACTACTACAAAAATTCTGATTAAATATTGTGAACAGAAATGTGATTCTCAACCATCTAGGTGCTGAAGCCACTGACTGTGCAAATTTTGTGCATTTTGATATGTTCTATATAACATGTATCTTCCGCTTTACCAGCTCAGCCATCCATTGAAAGCTTCAAGCTTATTAGCTGTCAA